TGTATGTATGTATGTATGTATGTATGTATGTATGTATGTATGTATGTATGTATGTATGTATGTATGTATGTATGTATGTATGTATGTATGTATGTATGTATGTATGTATGTATGTATGTATGTATGTATGTATGTATGTATGTATGTATGTATGTATGTATGTATGTATGTATGTTTGTTTGTTTGTGCTTTATAGACTGCTAAACGGCTGAACCGATTTTCCTGAAATTTTCACAGTTTCTTCCTGTATGTCTGGAAGGAACTATAGGCTACTTTTTATGTTGAAATTTCATGTGGGCGACGTGCCACGCCCATATTAAGAAAATATTATATTAGTATATCTGAGATAATATAATAGTTAGAGTCTTCAAATTTTGTGGGAGCAACTTTAGTATCTATATAATTATTTAAGACAAAAAGTGGGCGGATTAGCATTAGGGGGCGTGGCACCTCCCATATAAATTAAATACTCTTCGTTTATCTTGGAAACTATTACAGTTAGAATATGAAAAATTTGCACGAGTAACTTTAATATCCATGTAAACATTTTGGGAAATAAATTGGCGGACTACCCATGAGGGGAGCAGTACCTCCCATATTAATAAAATACAAAAATTGGTTTATCTGGGAAACTAATAGAACTAAATTCTTCAAATTTTGCACTAAGAACTTAAATATTCATCTGAACATATTTTAGAAAAAAGAGCGGACTTTCGTCATGGGGAGCTTAGAGCTCCCACATAAATTTAATAGGAAAATTATTATATCTGAGAAACTAGAATCTATATATATATATATATATAAAAATGAAAGTGTGTTTGTATGTATGTATGTATGTATGTATGTATGTATGTATGTATGTATGTATGTATGTATGTATGTATGTATGTATGTATGTATGTATGTATGTATGTATGTATGTATGTATGTATGTATGTATGTATGTATGTATGTATGTATGTATGTATGTATGTATGTATGTATGTATGTATGTATGTATGTATGTATGTATGTATGTATGTATGTATGTATGTATGTATGTATGTATGTATGTATGTATGTATGTATGTATGTATGTATGTATGTATGTATGTATGTATGTATGTATGTATGTATGTATGTATGTATGTATGTATGTATGTATGTTTGTATGTTTGTTTGTTTGTGCTTTATAGACTGCTAAACGGCTGGACCAATTTTCCTGAAATTTTCACAGTTTCTTCCTGTATTTCTGGAAGGAACTATAGGCTACTTCTTATGTTGAAACTAGCTAAAACCCGGCGTGCTTTGCTACTCCTGTCGATATAAAATAATAAATTTTCAAAATATATTGATATGCATTTTTTGTTTATAAAAATTTTATTAATATTTGTTTTTCACTATCCAAAAACCTAAAGTAATAAGACAAAGAAAGTTCGATATTTAAAGTATTTTTTTAATTAATGATATTTATGTACATATATTATTTCTTAATAATTATTTCTTACAAGGAGGATTTTATTTCACTGATGCGCCAGGAGGAACCGGAGAAACCTTTCTCATCTAGTTAATTTTAGCTAAAGTTCGATCGCAAAAGAATATTGCCTTAGCCATTGCGTCATCAGGTATTGCAGCAACACTTTTAGATTATGCACTCAAATTACCGTTGAAAACACAATTTTCTGAAGATTATACATGTAATGTTAAGAAAAATTCTTCAATGGGTAAAATCCTGCAAACATATAAAATAATAGTGTGGAATAAATGCACCATGGCCCACAAAAAATCCTTAGAAGCGCTTGATCACACTTTAAAGGACATGAGAAGTAATTCTAATTTATTTGGAGGTGCATTAATTCTTTTAGCGGGTGATTTTCGCCAGACACTTCCTGTGATACCTGGTTCAACACCGGCTGCTGAACTCAATGCTTGCCTAAAATCATCATATCTCTGGCAACATGTTCACACGTTAAAATTAACAACAAAACAATTGCTGGATTTAGGAAATGGAAAAATGACAATTGAGCCAACCACAAATTGTGTAAAGTTTCCCTCTAACTTTTGTAGGATCACACAATCAAAGAAAGAGTTAATATATTGTGTTTTTCCAAATCTTCAACGTAATTTCAAAAATAGGCAGTGGTTATGTGAGCGTGCTTTACTGGCACCCAAAAACATTGACGTTAATTGTATCAATAATATTATTTTGAATAGAATCGATGGTAATTTAAAAACATATAAATCCATCGATACTGTTACAAATAATGATGATGTCATCAATGTATCCCCACGAATTGAAGTTGAAAATTGGCGTTCCAATTATTTTATTGCGAAATATTGATCCACAATTTCAGGGTCAATCCCTGCAAGTGTGTGGAATAAATCTCGAAAATCCATGCTTCTCACATGGTCAGCTTTATGTTGCATGCTCGCGAGTTGAGAAACCTTCAGATTTGTATATCTACGCGCCTGAGGGGAAAACGAAAAATATTGTATATCCCAAGGCTTTAGAATAGGAAATAATTATTAAGAAAAATTTTAATTGTAAATATTAAGTCAATCATATTTTCGTAATTTTGTAATATTTTGTAAATTTATGCTAATGAATAGGAATAAGAAATAATTATTAAGAAATAATATATGTACATAAATATCATTAATTAATAAAATACTTTAAATATCAAACTTTCTTTGTCTTATTACTTTATGGTTTTGGATAGTGACAAACAAATATTAATAAAATTTTTATAAACAAAAAATGTATATGAATATATTTTGAAAATTTTTTATTTTATATCGACAGGAGTAGCAAAGCACGCCGGGTTTTAGCTAGTATTTATATGTAAATTGATTATGCCTTAAAAATTTAAATTTATTCCATTTACAAAATTATAAAACTCGCGATTAACTCGTTTTGACTCGAATCGCGAGCGAGTTCTATTTTACGCTCTTTAAATTTTCAACTCTTATCGCGAGTTTAAAAATTAAACTCGCGAGTCGAATAGATTTATTCGCCGGAAAATGAATTATTTAAATCGCTCGAATTAAACTCGCTCGCGAGCGAATTGAATTCGATCGCTATCTGTACCCTGATTAACAATTAACGTACATATGTCACTTTTATGCCTGTTTATGTACAACAAATTTATTTAAAATAATACACATTTATTATATTTTGTTTCGTTATGTAATTTTCCATGAAAAATAAATAAAATCCAATATTTTATGCATATTATTTGAATTTAAACATACAAAATGTGTTGTTAAATAATACGAATTTTTCGGTACTACGAAAGGGCCTGATGACACTATATAATTCGTACTAGTGGACATCCACTGTATGCAGGCCTGTCAATTCCATAATTTTCTTCTTCAAAAAAAGGAAAATTATAACTTTTTCAGAATGAAACCACTTCACGTTTTCAACGTGGAATTGACAATAGTTTAAAGTTATTATTTTTTCAGTCGATTTATTTACAATTTATAATTCCACTTTCGATCGGAATGGAATTCTGTGATGGGCCTGAATGAAAATTCCACTTGAGAATTCTTGCTCTAAAAGTTTTCAGATATACGATTTTTTGTATTTGATTCATATAGGGATACCCTACAACAATTGCAATTTTACCAATTTTTCCAAACGTTAGTATGGATTTTAATGCTACCCGTACAAAATTTTAAGATTCTAGCTCTAATAGTTTCTCTGATATACGAATTTTGTATTACATTGATAGGAGGTGTCAAGTCTCCTATTGAAAGTCCGCCCATTTTTCTCTGTCTGTAACTGTTTTTAATATACAAGAATTTTTTAATCTATTTTTCAAACCAGTTGTAATTCAGGTCTGAGTTGGGGAACAACTCAAAAACGTCATCGTTTTTATCCCTTAAGGACGTTCATGCTTGTGGTTGTTGCCGAGCTTTCGACAGAATTACTTCTCACCCCCGCACTAATTTTATGCACTACTTCGTATAACCGTTTCTAAGTTATGCGTTGTCTTCATTAAACGCGTGCTTTCGTTTTACCTCAGAGTGAGATTATGTTTTTAACTGGTGGAGACCATACAATACTCACGATATAACCTGGTGGAGACCATTTAAACTCAAATATATACTGGTGCAGACCATTAAAACTTTAAAACTTATTTCTGGTTGAGACCAATAATACTTTTGATTAAATTAAGTTCGGTGCTCCAACTTCCTATATGAAGGTATAGGTCGTTTGGTGGGGTTTCTCCGGACAAACGTGTGATAACCTGGCAATATGAGAATGTTTGTATTTAATTTATATGGGAGGTTCTTAACCTCCTGCACATTTTCGGCCTACAAGACGTGAAAGCTCTTCATGCTAAATTTTAAGATTATAGCTCTAATAGTTTGCCAGATAAACAAATTTTTCTATTTAATTCATATGGGGTGTACCACGCCTCCTATTGATAGTCCGCCTATTTTTGTATCATAAATACTCATATTGACACTTAAGTGGTTCCGACAAAATTTAACAACTCTAACTCTTATATTTTCTCAGATATAATAATTAAAATTTTCTTTATATGGGAGGTACCGCTCCTATTTCTAGTCCGTTAATTTTTCCCCCAAATGCTCATATGGATTTCAAAGTTGTAGCAAAAATTATCCAAAGAAGTTCAGATAGCTATTCCTTCCATGTTTCCAGAAAAAAATTTGTTAAATTGTTTAAATTTTTTTTTAATTTTTTATTAAATATTTTTTTATTTTTCAAATACTCCTATTTTTATACCACCATCAAAAAATATGGGGGGTATATATGACTTTATGGCGACCGTGTGAATACCCTAAATATGTATAAATTCCAGTTATGAATTTTTTCTATGAAACTTCATTTTATTTTCATAATTTGTGGACTTTTAATATCGTTCCCTTTTTATAAAATTTACTAAAAGTATAAATACATATGTATTAATCAACCCTTAAAACATGTTCAATTTATGACAATCGGACAGTGCATTTATCAACAAAAATTCAATATCATTATTTAATCTTACCTCTTCACATAGCGCCAACATACGACGTGTACTTTCCAATGACTGAAAGCAAATAAAAAAAACATTTTAAATTATATATAAATTCGATAAAAATATTGGGAGTATTTTAAAATAAGTCTAAATAAATTAAAGACGGTTCCAATAAAATTAAAAATATTAAATATTTAAAAATTCTGTTTAAATTTAAAAAAAAATATAATAAAATATTTCTTAAATGTATTCTGCAATTCGTTAGATATTCATTTTGTGCAAAATAACATGAGAGTAAGTATATTTGCACAGGTTCTGGTATGAATTATTGTTAAGAATGTCAAAGTTCTTGAAGTAAAATTTGAAGATTCTAGCTCTAACAGTTTCTCTGATATACGAATTTTTCTATTAAATTCATATGGGGGCTTCAAGCCTCCCAGATGAAAGTCCGCTCTTTTTCCTCCAAAATTTTCAGATGAATGTTAAAGTTCTTCGCGCAAAATTTGAAGAATTTAGTTCTATTAGTTTCCCAGATAAACATGTTTTTGTATTAATTAATATGGGAGGTGCCACGCCCCTAACGCTAGTTCGCCCACATTTTGTCCTAAATAATCATATTGACACTAAAGTGGCTCACAAAATTTGGGAACATTAACTGTTATATCATCTCAAATATATGGATTTAGTATTTTCTTAAGTAGCCTATAGCCTCTTACAGACATACAGGAATACGCTGTGAAAATTTCAAGAAAATCGGTTCAGCCGGTTAGTAGTCTATAAAGTTCAAACATACAAACAAACACACATTCATTTTTATACCCACCATCAAAAAAGATGGGGGTTATATTGTTTTCGTCATTCCGTTTGTAACACGTTGAAATATTCGTCTAAGACCCATAAAAGTATATATATTCTGGGTCCTTATTAGATTCTATGACGACCTAGCCATGTCCGACTGTCTGTTTGTCTGTTGAAAAATTGAAAATGTTCAATATCGGTCCTCGATTTCGCCTAGCCCCCACATAAGTCCCCCCTCAGAAAATTACTTTATCGCTCATAACTGGCTAAAAGAAGCATCAATGACGGTGAAATTCGGCACAAACATGTTCCATCGGAACTTTAATCTCTTTGTAAAATTTTATAAGGATAGGCCAATAGTTGACCCTACCGCCCATATAAAGTACTCTGCAGAAAATGACTTTAACGCTCATAACTGTCTAAAAAACATCTATAGCGTTGAAATTCGACAGGAACATATTTTATAGAAACTTAGGTTAGGTTAGGTTGATAGGAGGATATATACTACATCAAATCCGAAGAAATACACCTAGGCCACTATCGGGCCTGTTGTGCGCTCCTTATCATGAAAAAAGGAACTGAATTTTTTTTAAAGAAACTTAAATCTCTTAGTAAAATTTTTTAAGAATCGGTCTATAATTGACCCTACCCCTCATATAAGGGCCCTTTCAGAAAATGACAACTCAAAAATGCGAGTACATCGGTAAAATTCTACATAAACAGGTTTTGTGCTAGCCAGCTCTCTATCAAATTTTAAAAGGATCGGTCCTTAACTGACCCTATCCCCTATATAAAATCCTTTCTACAAAATTTTATGAGGATCTGTCTTTAATTGACCCTTCCCCCTATAAGATCCCCTCCGAAAATGACTAACGCTCATTACTGACACAAAAATGCGATTACAGCAGTGAAATTATACATAAACAAGTTTCGTGCTAGCCAAAAACTCTTTATCAAATTTTATGGGGATCGGTCTATAATTGATCCCACCCTCCATATAAGGTCCCCCTCAGAAAATGACTGTAACGCCCCCTATTAAGGTCCCCATGAAATCCTCCTACCGACTTTGATGAAGTTGGATCGATAAATGACCACTTCAGTAAAATTCCTTCAACTCTCAATAATTACTTAAAATTGCGATTTAGGCGATGAAATTCGAATAAACAACATCTTTACGAAACATAATTTATGTACAAAAGTTTATAAAGATCGGTCTATAATTCACCCTTATATAAGACTAGCTATACCCAGTGTGCTTTGCTACCCTAAAATCAATATAAATAAAAAACCGCACCTAACGATTTTTAAGATTCTAACTATAATAGTTTTTATATATAGATATATGTATAATGATATGCCATTCAAATTATTGCAAGTTCGCCAATTTTTCCAAACGTTAATTAATATTTAAATGTAACCCATGAAAAATGTGAATAATCTAATAGTTTCCCACTCGGGGGAGTTTTGCCGTTTTTCCTACCGAGCGCGTCCCCGGGTGGCGGATAGGCCTCTTGGAATAATAAAACGGTGGGTAGAACCACAAAGATTCTATGAGGTGACCCTGATGAGAGCAAGACGAAAAATCTCCTCAAAATGAGCAAGTCTGATGTTAGTATGATGGTACGTATTCTGAGTGGACACACAGGAATACGTGCACATCTATACAAAATTGGACGTGCGGATTCAGACAAATGTAGAGCATGTGGAGGGGACAGTGAAACTCTGGAGCACTTTCTTTGCCACTGTCAGGCATTCGTCGAAGTTAGATCCAAGTATCTTGAAAGTGATGTTATTCCGGAAATAACATTCTTACCCAACACTGATTGGAAGATTCTTAGGGATTACGTCCAGGAAACTGAGTTTCTGAACATGGAAAAATAATACATTCAGTGAACAATTTTATTTTTTTTTTTTCATGAATTGGAGCGCACAACAGGCCCGATAGTGGCCTAGGTGTATTTCTTCGGATTTGATGTAGTATACATCCTCCTATCAACCTAACCTAACCTAATAGTTTCCCAAATATACGAAATTTTGTATTTAATTCATATGGGAGGGGCCAATCCCCCATTGAAAGTCCGCCCATTTTTCTTTAAATGTTCACATGAATGTCAAAGTTCTTCATGTAAAATTTGAAGATTCTAGCACATTCTTTTTTATATATATAGATTCATATCTGCGGTACCAACTCCCCATTGAAAGTCCGCCCGATATATTCCACATGTTCAGATGAATGTCAAAGTTCTTTAAATAAAATTTGAAGATTTGAATTTGAAGATAGTTTCTCAGATGTACGAATTTTTCTATTAATTAATATGGGGGCTTCTTGCCCCCAAGATGAAAGTCCGCTCTTTTTCCTCCAAAGTGTTCAGACGAATATTTAAGTTTTTCGTGCAAAATTTGAAGAATTTAGTTCTATTAGTTTCCCAAATAAACGAATTTTTGCATTTAATTAATATGGGAGGTTCGCTTCCCTCATGGCTAGTCCGCCAATTTGTTACCCAAAATGTTTAAATGGATGTTAAAGTTATACGTGCAAAATTTTAAGATTCTAACTGTAAAAATTTCGAAGATAAACGAATTTTTGTATTTAATTTATATGGGAGGTGCCACGCTCCCTAATGCTAGTCCGCCTACTTTTTGTAGGCTCTGACAAAATTTGAGGACTCTAACTGTTATATTATCTCAAATATACGGATTTGATATTCTATTAATATGGACGTGGCTCCTCGACCACTTGAAATTTCAAAATAAAAAGTAGCCTATTACCTATTTCAGACGTACAGAAATACGCTGTGAAAATTTCCAGAAAATTGGTTCAGCCGTTTAGTAGTCTATAACGTTCAAATATACAAACATATAAACATACAAACAAACACATATTCATTTATATATATATACTAGCTACACCCAGTATGCTTTGCTACCCTAAAAGCAATATGTATAAATAAAAAACCCACTTAACGATTTTGAAGATTCTAACTACAATAGTTTTCCAGATTTATAATATGTTACATATGAGAGATGTCAAGCAAATTATTGCAAGTTCGCCAGTTTCTATCTATCACCAATTTCTATCTATCTATGAAAATTTTTAATAATATAAGAGTTTCCAAGATAAACGAAATTTTGTATTTAATTCATATATGTTGTGCCAAGCCACCCATTTAAAGTCCGCCCGTTATGCTCTAAATGTTCACATGAATGTCAAAGTTCTTCATGTAAAATTTGAAGATATACGATATAAGAATTTTTCTATTTGATTCATGTGGGGGCTTCAATCTCCCCTGATGAAAGTCCGCGCCTTTTCCTCCAAAATGTTCAGATGAATATTAAAGTAATTTGTACAAAATTTTAAGAATCAAGTTCTATTAGTTTCCCAGATAAACGAAATTTTATATTTAATTCATATGTGAGGTGCCAAGTTCCCCATTGAAAGTCCGCCCGTTATACTCTAAATGTTCTGATGAATGTCAAGATTCTTCAAGTAAAATTTGAAGATTCTAGTTCTAATAATTTCTCAGATATACTATTTTTTTTTTTATTTAATTCTTATGAGGGCCTTAAGCACCCCCAGATGAAAGTCCGCTTTTTTCCTCCAAAATGTTCAGATGAATATTAAAGTTCTTCGTGCAAAATTTGAAGAATTTAGTTTCATTAGTTTCCCAGATAAACGAATTTTTATATATAATTAATATGGGAGGTGCCGCTCCCTTCATGGGCAGTCCGCCAATTTATTACCCAAAATGTTTTAATGGATGCTAAAGTTATTCGTGCAAAATTTGAAGATTCTAACTGTAATAGTTTCCAAGATAAACTAATTTTTTTATTAAAAGTTGATCCGACAAAATTTGAGGACTTTAACTGTTATATGATCTCAAATATACGGATTTAATATTTTCGTAATATGGGCGTGGCTCCTCGCCCACTTGGAATTTCAAAATAAAAAGTAGCCTATTACCTATTCCAGACATACAGGAATACGCTGTGAAAATTTGAAGAAAATCGGTTCAGCTGCATATAAGCATACAAACAAACACACATTCATTTATATATATAGATCAGTCAAGAGCAGAATTGCGATTCGAATGCTCGCGTGTATAGGTCTGAAAATTCTGCTGACGCACAGTGGGGCAGAATCCAAATTTTTTGGAAATAAATCTGGCATTTCTAAACGGCTGATCCGATCGGTATAAAATTTGGCGTGAGCGTAGCCAAGTATTCGAGTTTAAGTTTCGAAGATGAACCCCGCACAGTGGTATAGGAAAAAAAAA